TTTCTTTCTTTCTTTCTTTCTTTCTTTCTTTCTTTCTTTCTTTCTTTCTTTCTTTCTTTCTTTCTTTCTTTCTTTCTTTCTTTCTTTCTTTCTTTTTCTTTCTCCCACCTGTTTTCCAAGTTCCTTTCTCTGTTACCTGAAATGGCAGCACTGCTACTTCCCCCATCATATCCATCCCATCCCATAATGGGAAGCGCCATTGCTTTAAACCGAGTGTGGGGGAGGAACAGTTYCTCATATCTTAGTCCAGGTGGTTTAGCGCATGAGGATCTGATTCTGTTTCATAACATTGGAAGAATATATTCTGGGCTACATTCTTCCTCTCTGGCACATAGTAGGCAGGATTTCTCCGTGTTTCTCCCTCCTGTACCTAAAGCTAACCTGATCCTTGTGATCTCATTAGCACAGGGTAGAGGAGATGTGTCCTGGCCTGGAGAAGCATAGTCTGATGTCTACCAATCTCTGCYATGTTTGTGGACAGAACAAGAGAGGGTGCGTTTGCCAGAAGCAGTGTGTTCTCTTGTAATGTGGGCTTCAAGAGTAGAGGCAGCATGCCCCTGCTTGTGCGCACTTGCATAGAACTGTGCACAAATCTGTGCACACCGCCACACTCACAGAAATCCCTCGTGCGTACAAGGGCGTGCAAGAAAAGAACATGTGCACAAGCACAAGCAGCTTCCTGGAAGCAATCTGTCTATCCAAGGCCATGAGAGGAAAGGCAGGCAAGCCTTCAGCAGTGCTCAGCTTTGGGCCCTGGATGTGTAGAACTGCAGGCAGGGGCTGCTCCAGTAGAGGCACCTTGACCACGCATACTTTCAACCACCTGAAAGTAGGGATTGGGGAGCGGGAGGAGGRAAAGCAAAAATAACTATCAGGAAATCTTGAAAGGCACATTTATTAATATGCAGTTAATATAAAATTAAACACATTATGATATGTACATGTTTTCCTAATGCAATTTTCTAATTTGAAATTAGTGTCTGTGAGGCTTGCCCATGAAACAGTCTCTGGATTCTCTTTCTCATTTTCACACAAATGCAGAGCAGCACCACAGCTCTTAAAGGTAGGCTTTCAGTGCTGCAAAGCAGTTGTAACTATCCTGCATAAATACAGGAAAAAAAATCTCATCTTGAGGGGTTGGTTCCTGAAGAAGTAATGTTTTCTAAAGAAGACACAAAAGGGAGAAGGCATTGCTTCAGGTGCCCCTGCCCACAGGCATTGCTTCAGGTGCCCCTGCCCAGCGCCTGCCCAAAAAAATCACCGAATGAAGGAAAGTAAACACATTTATATATAATATAGAGAGAGGAATTTCTCTCAAACGGGGATATA